TCGCATTTGGTCAGAGATTTTTCAACGTGATTGTTTTTTGTTTTTGGGTGGTGGAAGTTACAGGTTCACGGCCAGTCGTGATGGGCACGATCTGCTGTCGCTTGCGCCTGACTGGCCCTGAACTCTTTATTCATCACGGGCATCGAAACATGATGGCTGCATGCACGTGCGAATTGTTTATTAGAATCTGCTTGTACAACCGTCGAGTCTTTGTTTATAATTCATTGGAATCTTTGCTTATAACCAGAGAACAAAAACTAATGAATTGAACTTTCAACTTGGACTCTCTGCTGGAAACGAAAAGCTCATAAATCAGCAACAATTTACTGATTATGAAAAGCTTTGTAAAGGGCTCAATATTTTAGAGCTATCTACTACTACCTCTAGCTTAAAAAGATCTTCAAATTACTCAAAATCTTGAAGCTAAGCGTAATTTCAGCGTAGCATTGGCACGCGAGTCCATCCTTGGACTCCACTTCTGATGATCTTTCGATACACTCATCGCCATACAACACAACCGCGTCCCGTTTGCTGGTTGTTCGCGCGACACAAGGCAATCCGTTGCATTGCGCTGTAAAAACCTCGAGCGTCCTTCCATCACTTCGCGCTGAGTTGACCGCTACACTAGCTCCCCGTTGCTTTCTATTACGGCTTCCGCATCCTTTTTGAAAACTTCTTCCACCATCTAGAACTGACGCGACAACTGTCCGCCACGGTATGCGGAACAAAGCAAAAAATTCGATGCATGAAATTCTGAAAACTATGGCCGATTGTTCGGCCATTTTGGGACCGTTCTTCATCTTATGCAGCGTGGAAATATTTTCTACCTTTAAAGGTTCTGAAGTGACAATGACCATCTGATTTGTTGTGAGGAAACGGTCAGGAGGGTAAGTAAATTTCTGAAAGGTAAATGATATTCTATGTGAACGTTAATACAAAGTTTACCTCATCCGTCGTTAATTGGATTTATGCCCTTCGGTGTCGTTATATTTGAGTTACGTTTGATCTCTCGCTACATTGATTGCAGACTCGAGTATTGCGCCTGCAGGCAGATATAAAATGTAATTGTCATGCCAAACATTTAATATTGCATAAGGAGATTGAATGGACTTTAAGTGTGTTTTATTGAGGCATTTGTATTTATTAATAAGGCATGAAGATTTAAATTTGAAGTTTTTTTGTGCTAAAATTACGAACATACATAATTTAAATTAAATTGGGGTAATGGCACGTATTTCCAGTACTTTACCTGAGATGTATTAAGTGCGCTCTATGCCTTCAGCTTCAGCTTCTCAGTTTCGTTTGAAATTCAGTCGGCATGCAATTCATTTTGCTGTTAAAAACTCAGAATAATGATATTTTTGATCTTACGTGTCATTTAGTTTTGTTTTTACTCGTAAGTAGGAATTACTAATTATTTGAAACGAACAAATGGTTTAATCTTTCACTTAATTGAAGCAGGCAAATGCGTTATTAGTTTAGTTATTAAAAGCAAACATATTGCGTCGATCGTCTAGTTAGTAAAAGTAGGCAAATGCATTGATCTTTTTCTTAAAGCAAGCAAATGCGTTAATCGGCTAGTTATTAAAAGCAAGCTAATGCATTGATCTCTCACTTATTTGAAGGAAGAATTGCGATAATCGTTTACTTATTTGAAGCAAACAAATGCGTTTATGGCTTGCTTATTTCGAAAACTATGGCGAGTGGGGGTTAAATTAAGCTTCAATTCAAAGAATATTTTATTTATCCGGATGAATGAAACTGTTGCAAAACTGGCGGTCGGAGAAGACAACGGGTTAAGCCCGTCGGTGGCGCTCCCCCCGACCATCCGCCACCCGCGGTTCCGAAAAGGAGGATGAAGTGAAACTGTCAAATAACAAAATTATGAGAGACGCAAAACAACTTGAATTGGTAAGAATTTTAAACCCGGATATTAAACATAGTTGGTATCAGAAAATATTCCTAGGTAATGACATAGGTACATGGGATAATGGTAACCGTTTAATATCTTAGGTGAGAAAATTTTACTCGAGGTAATATTAGGTAATGAGCTCAGTGCTAGCAGGTAAGGTAAAGTTTTAAGGTAAGGTAATAAAGAGCTAAAGCACTGGAGCTAGTTGGTAAAATGTTATAGTAGCAATTTGAATATTCCAGGTAATAGCTACTCGGTAAATGACAATTTAGGTAATAGTTCGAGCTAGGTAATACATTAGGTAATGGTAAGATTTAGGTAACGATAAGATTTAGGTAACATTAATAATCAGGTAACATTAGGAATAAGGTAACATTAAGAATCAGGTAATAGTACGAAATTGACAAGTCATTTGGGAATTTGGATTATGATTATTCTTCAATTCCTCCGGTAAATGAAGGTTCTTAGAGCAAGTGCAGGAGTTGAGGCCTGATGGGACTCTAAAGGTAACAAGGTAATGCGCGACAATCACCTGCCACCCACCTCAGACGTCCATAGGATCTTTGCCGTGTGTTGAACGTCGCCGCGTCAAACTTCCATCGCCGTTAGTCCGAACAGTAGGCGTCAAGGACGGTAGCGCCGAAGGTAGCAACGTAGAAGGCCTCCGTCATCCCGCCGCCAGTCACTCCACCGAACTCCCTATCTCTTCATAGGGACTGGCCAAGATGTATAGTGTAGACTCCTGCGTTTGGTATTTTTTTTAATCCGAGACGAGACGAGACGAGACAACAGGCTCTGTCCCGGTTCGCAATAAAAACCGGGACAATTTTCAGCCTTCCGTTGGAATTCCGGGACGATACCGAGACGAGACGAGACGTCCCGGTTAAAATAGGTACCTTAAAATTTCCCGGAATTTACAGCCATTTTAACGAGACATAACGAGACTAATCAATTATTGATGTGGTGTAAACATAGGCTTACCGTCATACATTTATACAGAGCTGGGCAGCGTTACTTTGAAATGCAGCGGCCGCTACCGCTACATGCTCTAAATGTAGCGGGCGCTACCGCTACCGCTACAATGGCTTAAATGTAGCGCCGCTACCGCTACCGAAAATGTAGCGGCCGCTACATGTAGCGCGCTACTGCCCACCTCTGCTAACAACAAACATGTTGACACTATTAACAGGCAGAGGTTGACAACATTACACCGAAATTGTTCGTAACGGTACAGTTTTATTCTGTAATTTATGTTATGTATGTATCATGCTGATTTTTAAATAATATTTAATATTATTAAGTAAAATCTCTAAAGGCTTTATCTATAAGTGTAGCGGTAGCGCTGTAGCGGCAAAACCTCGTATCGCTACTTAAATATGTAGCGGGCGCTACCGCTGCCGCTACAATTGCTTAAATGTAGCGCCGCTACCGCTACTGAAAATATAGCGGCCGCTACATGTAGCGCGCCACTGCCCACATCTGCATTTATATAATAACATGAGACGTATCCTCTTACTATTCTGATTGGAGCTCGGCAATTGAAATTATTTTTGCGACGAATACATGTTGTGGTTTAATATGGTAGTTAATCTAGACAGGCAAATAAAAATGGAAAACACGTTTTTTTTCAAAAATTGTGTTCTATAATGGTTTGGAGGAGGCCATACTAGCTGTAGCTGGTGACATCAGCTGACTGGACAGACTTTAATTTGCCTCCAGCTCTATCACAGAATCAGATTCATCGATCTTGCCTTAAGCAATCTCCTTCAACAAAAAGTTTGGAAAGAAAAATCAACAACATTTAAAATACATTTTAAATGTTGTTTTAAACATTTTAAAACATTTAAAACAACCGACATTTTAAAATACAACGAATTCAATTTGGAAAAAATATAATAAACAACGTTAAACAAGCCCAAGTGTTTGCTAACAATTCAGGAAACTGCGCAATTGTGAAGATTTCCTGCAGGCTTAGCACAAAATTTTACTAAAGGCAAAGATAATCTAATACTAGCTTTAGTATTATTAGGAATATCTTACCAGGTCTCCATTCTCGAAGGTAGCAACGTAGAAGGCCTCCGTCATCCCGCCGCCAGTCACTCCACCGAACTCCCTATCTCTTCATAGGGACTGGCCAAGATGTATAGTGGCAAAGGAGTCGAAAGTGAAAATCGGAGTTGACTGCATGGGGGCACTTGTTGACCACACCATCTGTAGCTGGAGACTGACTGATTAGACGCTGACGTATTTTCGTGACGTTGTGGCCGGGTAGATGGTTCTTTGCAGCAATTTAGAAATGAATGGTCAAAGTGGTAGCAGGGTTGTCGCGATTAATAAATCTAACATTAATTGAAATATATGAACCTGGCTCCAAATTCCCAACTGCATATTAAATCAATGAATTTGGTTTTAAACTATTTGGTGTCAACTTTAAGTTAAGGAAAATAGGCTGTAAGTTATGACCAATCTGACTACCTGAATATTTAGATCTTAAGAATAAGGGCACATTTTCAACAGCTTATATGTGACTTGCGATAATCGTTCTAGCGAAATACTGTAGGCGCCAATCCAAGCGAACCGTGAAAAATTTTGGGATGACAGGATTTTCTTCAAAAGTATTTTTGCTTTTCGCTTTAACTTGGAATTTGAAATTCCTTGAAGCTGCTACTTATCCTTCTACCATAAAAACTGAATTTTTATTGGTTGTAAAACACTTCTATTTGTCAGCGTAATTCGTCTGCCATTTCGTCGCCGTTTCCGGCCGTGATGAGGTGGAGGACCTGTAAGCGTTTCATGGTTTATTGGCCATATTTGTTTCCGCTTCACGGTTTCGGTTAAAATTGAACAACTGCTGCCCTTAAGGACGAATTCGTCCATAAGTAATATCTTAAAAAACTGTAAATAATCGTACCTATGAAGCAAATTGACAAAAGAATGTGACAAATTGACCAGAAAATTCCTGACATTTTCCAAAATATATTAAATTAATTTCTGCTTACTCTAAACTATTTTCTACTCAGCTCATCTTTTACAATTAAATAAACGGAATTTATAACCTATAGTGTGATTTTTTCTCATTTTATTACAGTCGGTCTCGTGGGTGCTGCAGACCGGAGAAGAGACCCTGCAGCAGATGCAGCTTCTGCAGACCGGCGTCCAGACTCTTGCTGCAGCCAACAAGAATCTCCTCGAGTTCAAGCAATTCTACAGACTTGCTGAGGTAAAAATAGAAATACCAATGAACGGAAAACAGCTCAGGCAATGAAAGATGGAATCTGCACTAAGTGCTTTTATTATCTAAGATAGTTAACTAGTTTGTTTAAATGATCGTTTGATTTATCCTGAACAGAAATAATTCCGGAACAATGGCTTTAAATGATCAAAAAATATAGAAAAAGTTTGTTCAAAAAGAAGCCTTTTGCTGAAAGTTTTTTGCAGTTATGGTAACCGGAACGGAATATTTCGATACAATTGTATGTTCATGTGACATACAGCTCTCTTAATCGTATATATTCAACTATTGACTTGTGTACTGAAGTGCCATTGAATTATTTATATCATCGTGTATTTTTCTGATGCTCCATAAATTATTGGCGGCATCTGCTCCAGTCAGTCTAGCACGGCTATCATTATGCAACTAGAGTAGTCCCTCTCTGAACAGAGAAAAAGACATAAATGCGAATAGAAAATTTGGTTGTAGAAAACGGCATATTTCTCTGTGGGAAACTATTCTCTAGCTCTGCGACTAGAATTATCTTTACTTGTTTTATCATTTCAGAAGTAAATAAAGAAATAAACTAAAATTTATTCATTTCCGTTGTGCTAACAGATTTTTGAATGATTAATTTGCATGAATTGAATTTTTGGGATCTGATTGCTAAAATTATATATTTGGGTAAAACCGTAAAATTGTGATGCATTATCGAAAATATTTTTTAACGCCAATGGATTTTAAGCGTATCGACGGTACGAACTGTTCTGTTTGCTGAGTAATATAAAACGATTTCTTGCAAGAAATATTATTGTGTTAATATTTTTCTGCGACATTGATGTTACGTGCGGCTAGAAGTGCCTATATTTGCGAACTCGTGGAACAAAATCCTTGCATTTCGTGACATAGTTTTTCTAACTCATTTTGCAATGCCCAAGTGTCTTGTCTGAAGCAAGCCTGAGTGCATTATCATCGGTGCTTGGTTGCGTCATATTCGCGCTTCATAACCAGCCTCAGCCTCTCCAAAACAAGTCCATTTTCCACAGCAAACAACTTCCCTGCAACCAACGTTGTGTCTTGTGACGGAGAGTTTTATGCGTGCATAGCTCCCTTTAGTGACCCCAAGCGCATTTTGTAGCGTCCATTTTTTTAATGTTCGTTTGACAATGAATATTGAGTTCTTCTGCTTTATTGCGTTTGAATCTCAACAATCTCAATCTCTCAACAGGCGTTTGACCTAGAAGTTTTCTGTAATAACTTCGTTATCTTTCAGTCTAAAAGATATGCCATTTGTATTTTTTGAAAAGAAAATTCTTGTAGCAAATGCCTTGCATTTTACTTTTTACAGAAGTTATGCAATCATTCACCATTCAATCATGTAATGGATCGAATTCAATTGATCTAATGAATTAACTCAACGTGGTCAGTTGTGTAAGGGTTCCAATGACTCTAACTCTGTCAGAATGTCTCTAACTCTGTCAGAATGTCTCTCACTTCGGTCAGAGAACTTTTCGGTTATCGACTTCTATAAACAAATTCGAGGCCGAGAATTTTGACATGAGGTGGATTTCATGAAATGTAATTTTTTAAAGCTTGATTCGTGTTAACGCGTTATTTCTCGTGCGATAAACCTATGAAACAATTATTCTTTTTCTCTAAAAAAATTTTTTTAGAGAAAAATTCTGATTTTTCTCTAAAAATATCAGAATTTTAAACATAGTATTAAAATCCTGTTGTTCTTCGTTTTTACTCTCATATTCTAATTTTCTATTCTTCACTTTTTGAAAAAAACATTGTTTCAACTATTTCATTCCCTACTCGAAAATAGTCCGGATCTGATCATGAAAGCGTACGCGCAGGAATTCTATAACTAAGATTCCTACACGTAGACAATATTCCATTATTTGAAATTGTTTACTTTTCCCTACGTGAGGTTCCTGCTTTCTGTTAATAAGCAGCGTGCGCTTTGCACGCATTCTCATCGCAAGGTTGATGCGCCCAGTCTGCGTACACACAAAGAAATTAGTGTGACTTCTTCCAAGTAGCGATGCACTTCTTGCCCTTGCGTGGGTCATCCTCACCCAGTCTATCCTGGAAGAATGTATACGTATCAGTGCTACGTCCGTTCCCTGCTCGTGCTGTGGTTAAGAAAGTGTGTCACTATTCGGACACTGTAACCCATTAATTTTTTAGTAATCTGCGTTGGTTCAGACGTGTCTCGCACAGGTTTCTGTATGACGGCTTCCTGACTTGGTTGCATTCTCGGAAAAATCGCCGTAGCATTTTTATTTCCGCTCATATCTATCTACGAGCTAGGCTTTTAATGACATGAAATTCTGAAAAATATTATATCTACGGTTAATTATATCTATCTAGTTGATTTGCTTGAAACAATGATTTAAACAAAGTATTTAAAAAGTAATTACTGTGATTTTTATTATCATTATTCACGTGTGTCATTATTTACATGTAAAAATCAATATTCAATTGTCCACCAATGTGTACTTGAACTCAATTTTCATACTTTTTTAGTGCAACTAAGCCTTAGTCGCTTTTATATTCTAATTTGATGAGGACATTATTATTATGGTCAAAATTTTTACCTTTCGTAATTGTGCGCTGAGAATTTTTTTAAACAACTGGATTGTACTTGTTACCTGTCTGGTGGTTTAGTTTTATCTCTGTATGGTCATGTGAAACATTTTAAATACTACAGAATTTATAAAAACTGGAATATATGCGCTGAGGATTCTACGATGCTACAGTGGAGCTTTTTGCAAAACTTGAAGCTCGGCGATCCTGGAATGACAAGTTAAGGCTTTGACTTGAGTTCGTGTTCGATGAAAGATCCATTTTTCATTCTTCGATATTCGACTTCAGTTTATGTCCCAATAAATCATCGTGCTGTGTTCTGATCAGCACGGGCGTTGGTGCAGAATGATAAAGCTTATCTGGTCCGAAGCTGCTATTCGGCCTGTCATGCGAAACGGTTCTCTTTCGGCGGCTTGCGCTTCATTCCCGTTGTTTCGGAAATTTTTCGGTTGCTAAATGAATATTTTTGAACTAATTTATGTGTTTGGTCTCGTGCTCTAATTTTGTTCAAACAATTATCACGTCACATTAAGATGAAATTATTTATAATACCAACAGACTCTTTTCAAACTCAATTTGATGCTTTTTGCAATTTTCTTACACATTGATTACGAGTGGATGCATTCAAGTCTTTACTAACGATATTTATTTTAAATTTCTATTTAAATTTATTATTCTTATTGGCTCTTTTAATGGAGATTCTTGGCTCGTTGTCGTGGTATGCGTATTTCATTAAAAACGGGAGTGAATAATTGATGTAAAATTTGAAATGAGTACAGGAATAGGGGAATTAGTTTTTTAATTCTGCCCACTTTTCTACTAAACTCTTAATTGATTATTCTTTTTCTGTTGTATTAGATTTTTTCATTGAATGATAGCATAAACGACCTTCAATGCTGTGAAATTTAGTTTAAAATATATATTAAATAACTGCTTGAAAAATTTTATATTAATTGTATGACTTATAAAACTTGCGAGCATTTAAACCTGGCAATTAGTTGATTGTATATTGTCTCTGACCTAACAAGTGTTTCCTCAAAAAATTCGCTCTTTTTTGCCGATTCAATCATGCTCGTTAGTTTTAATTTGGTGCCGCACTTTCGAAACTCGCCTACGTACACGTAACTATCAAGTTCCAGTCTGTGATTGGTGAGTTGAGCTAGAAAAACCGTCAGTAATTGGTTGACGAAGTTACGATCTCGTTACTACTTATGAGCATACATACGTCTCCAGCGGAAGGCAAACAACTCGATCGAGGCTCGCAGGAATGCCGCTTGAAGCTCGTCTTCTTGCCTCGTGATTGAAGCTGATTGCTCGGTGTAGGAGGGAGGCTTCTGGGCTATATATGGCATTCAAATCCATGTTAATATACTCATTTCAACCAATACTAATATAAATTTAGGAATTATCGTATCATCTTTAACAGACTAGACGAAGCTATGCAGGAGCATATGTTCAGTCTTAAAATGCCCAGCAAATTACGGACCAGGGGCCGTATTATCAAAACTTCGTAAGTACGCAGAATCGACTTACGAGTGGCTCTGCTATGACAACGTAATACTAGCAGTGGTATTATAAAAACATTTGCGCGGGAAAAATTGGCGCGGGAAAAAAATTTAGGCTTATAGCTAAGACTTGCGTATGAAAGTTTTGATAATGCCAAAATTAGGGTGTATTTACGTACCACAGAACTTTTTTGTCGTAAGTACAAAAAGTTACGAATTCTATTCTATTCTATTCTATTCTATTCTATTCTATTCTATTCTATTCTATTCTATTCTATTCTATTCTATTCTATTCTATCTTCAGGAGCAAATCCTTCTACATTCGTATTCATCTATACTTGATAAGTTTACTGTGGCTATTGAGTAGAGTCCGCGGCCTTTTAATGTTAATTCAGGAGCCAAAGTCGACTATGATTGTGCACTAAGACGGAATTCATTTCAAGTATGTTTTGGTCAAATTGAATAAATCTTTGTAAAAAACTTACACGTATTTCATACTGCATGTCCTCCTCGAAATAAACGGGATTGTGACTTCCGATTTTTGTCGTACGCTCCATATGAAGTCGTGAGGAAGAACGCAATGAAACTTTTTTCCATCTGAGTATCGACCAAAATGTAGTTTTGAGCAAATAATTTTTCTATAGAAGTAATTTTCGAATCACTTTGCATGATTTAATTTCTGCAGTCCAGAATAACACCATGAACACAGGGAAAGTGCTAGTACTAGTTGGAAAAATTTTATTTAGGACTTTTGTGCGTTGATTTAGCAGCTAATTAACACAACTGACAAAGCAGCTTGTTTTATAAATCAGCTAAATCTCGACCAATTTCGTATTCTTACTATTACGTAATAAGTTTAGTTAAAGAACTGAAGTTTACACTGTACATTTTAAACAGTGTGGGAAACTTTTC